ACAATTTTTTTAAGGAGCACATTCGGACAAACTCCAATATCACAGATTACTTCAGCTAATGTATTCGATGAGTATCTTGCTTAAATGAGTGTTGTGTAATCTGATGATATGACGGTTTAGTGGGAGTTTGTAATTTTGGTTTTACTAAGGGTTCATACATTTATGAACATTCAAATATTATTAACACTGCAGTACAAAGTCTAAAGTATTAAGTAAAGTTTAAGGTATAAGGTTAAGTTTTTTTCAGTGTGCTTACATTCTGAAATTTTGGTTGATCTCACTAAAGTATAAAGAGGACCAGTTGAAAATAGACATGTTAAAGATCACATTACATGAAATTTCCATGCTACACATCCACACTTGATCCATGACGGTTTAGTGGGAGTTTGTAATTTTTTTTACTAAGGATTCATACATTTATGAACATTCAGATATTAATTAATGCTGCAGTACAAAGTCTAAAGTATCAAGTAAAGTTTAAGGTATAAGGTTAAGTTTTTCCAGTGTGCTTATATTCTGATATTTTGGTTGATCTCACTGAAGTATAAAGAGGACCAGTTGGAAATAGACATGTTAAAGATCACATTACATGAAATTTTCATGCTACACATCCACACTTGATGTCATTTAGTTATATTAATGTATGTGACCACTGATGGTTATAGTTGTCGTTCGTGCAACGACTGCCCTTTGATCCTATGCTTATATAATTAATAGACGGGATTGTTTAAGTCACTTTATGATAGCAAATTTTACGCGCTCTTAAGTTTTCGGTATAATATATAATTATAAGGTATATATATGGTGCATAGTCCAAGTGGGAGATTGTAAGATCTATGTGGACTTTATACACTGATATATATAATTGTATGTTATAAGCTATCATAAACTACTGGCCCACATAAAGTGATCTAATTAAATCTACTAAAGTTTGGGCTAATTATAATAATAAAGTTATAAGGTATGGCCCAGTATTGTGTAGAAACCCTAAGGCCCAGTTTCCTGTTCTGTGATGGGTGAAACCGGAAACCCTATTATATATTGGTTGTGGTCCCCAGATGAGCCGTCATGCCAAATCTTCGACTCCCCGTTTGTCAGAGGTTCCCGCAAGGGTTTGACGGAATCATCTGCAAGACCAAACCGGATCGATGTTCTTGCCGCTACAGATTAAGGTGCGTTTCCGCTTTCGTATAGTTCTCAAAAGATGTTCAAGCCAAACATCATGCTATCGTATTCCTTAAACCCTAGGTTTGGATGATAAAACTTCTCGCAAGGCTAAGGTGCCCGAAGATAATTTGGGCCACAAAACTAGCATTTGTCAAAATTGGTATTTCAGCCACATGAATAATAAAAGTCGTACAAGTAGCAAATAATCAACAATGCATGCAAACTTGACTTTTGCTTCTCAGATGAGTGGGTGCATGGTTTATATCCAAAAAATTTTGACAACAAAGCTACCCCGCATTCTAGAGGGTTTACGTGCATGTGCCTTTTAATATAATGATAACCACTGTATTCTTTTGTTAACCACTGTATTCTTTTATTATCAAATTCTTAAGCAAATCCTCAATAACTTAATGGGTCAGGCATGCACGTTAATGACACATCATCATATAGATCAATACTAATGCCAATTAAATCGAGGGAACCTGGATGGCATGATTTTGCGGTTATGGCGTATGATGGTCTTTGAACCTTTTGATCAAGGAAGTTCGCCGAAGGGAAAATCTCAATCGTCGGCGTGAATTTATGCCGAATTGAGATGATGGCCAAGCACTGCCGTTCATAGTCAAGAATTGAGTGAGACCATCCCGACCTTCTTCACGAGAAACTTATTAAAAAGTGAAAAAAAAAACCCTAATCGGGTCCCACTGGGCGTGCCACTTGACGAAGCATGGATCTGTACCAACGTCTCTGATTGGTTGAACCGGCGGCCATGGTGGAATCAAAACCCTAAAACCTACAAAAGAGGGTCTTGGGGTCTCCCGAGGGTAGACACTCCGATACTTAAGTCAGTAAGAGTATTCGTAATTAGGGTATAAATCGGGCGCATAAAGCGTACCTTTGATAATAGGGATTGATCCCTATTTATAGAGCTAGATTATGGAACCTTTTCTTGGTAGGAAAGTAATTGACAACCGCCCTAAAAGCTTCCAGGAGCCGGTTGGACCGCTCACCGAACTTGGGCCGGCTTAGTAACTGGCCGTACTATTTGGACTTGTCAAGTAGTAAGATATTCCTGTAACATTGAAATCTCGTAACTTTGAAAGACGAAAAACTCAGATTTATAAGAGTAGTAAGGAAAAAAATCACCATACTTCCACCAAGATTTATCTCCTACGTACTGATTCAATTTTTTTAGAAGACGAAAAACACACCTTTGGCATACATTTTTCGACTGGGGTTTAATTGTGGGCGACTGAGTAAAGCAATGGAAAAGTTCAGTATTTTGTTGTAGATAGACCCAATGGACTAGCAGACTATTACTCTTTAAAGCTTGGATTAGTTAGGTGAAATGATCATCATTTTATAAAGGAGTTTGGCTTCGTTTGAATCGGTTTGGATCCTTGTGACATGTGTGTTTTATGAATATATATTTATTAAAAAAAATTATGAAAAGATTCAAAATAAACATGCATGTTTAGCCTCCTATTTATATACAAAATAATACTAGTACGAATTTTGTAATAATTCCCACATTGAATTTTAAGATTCATACTAAAAATAGTATAATAAATTTTAAATTCAATATAGACTATTTCTTTTTTTTTGAAAACAAGAAATTTTTTTTAAGCCTTTATGTTCACGTGTTATTTACGTTTTGCCATCTTTCAATTATATTAATAATATTTTGAAATTGTTCCCGTGACAAAAAATATTTTACCTTGTGCGCCGATAATTTCCTTACTGCCAGCCGTACAAAATTTTGGCAGTTCTTTTAATCAAATCTTTTTAATTTATTCCACGAAACTTTTGTCATTGTTAAACGTCTCTCCCTGCATGAACCACGATCGTGATGTTTCGGCATTAACCCAGATTTTTATTTTTTCTTTTTAGTTGTCTATGTGATTTAAACGGAACCATAACCAAAAATAGAAGACTGAAATGGAAGAAAAAAAACTATAATACCCAACCCATTTATATTCTTTACAATTCGCAGGGATATCAAGTACTTTCTCTGTCCCGAAATTATTATTCAGTTTGCATTTTTATTTTAGTTTAAATTATACCATAAGTGAAAATTTAAACGGGACAATAATTTTATAAAAAATCGAATATTAAGGTAAATTAATCAACTAAGAGGTAAAATCATACAGTCTGAATTAGTTGGATTCAGATCACCATATAAAATCTATTCGACCAGCTTTGTTAAATTTCAGCATTTTGATTTGTTCTGCTTCACAAACTGAGCTTTATTATATATTTTTCATTTCAGTTCACTTTTTTCATACTAAAAACAGTACAACATGTTACAATTTTTTTTTTTAATTTTTTTTTTCATTCCTGGAAGGGCCGGAAAAATTAGCAACTTATGATTGGTAATATTGGCAACAGCAGTTTGTTCATGGTAGTAATGATACATAGTAGAACAAATTGCAACAATGTGGTGTGAGTCCTTTTGTCATGTAGTGCCCTATCAGTCCAAATCCCCAATTATTTTTTTAGGGATATTGTTTTTTTCTTATTAAAAAGAAAGAGTTTTGTGAGATACTTAATTAATTACTAAATGATAAGATAAGCACAATCAAGTAAAACTGCCAACCAAACAAGAACTGTCTTGAATTGGATATGTACGTTGTACGGTAAGTCTATCAACCAGATGAGATGTAAAAAATTACCAAGAGAAAACCACAAATCTGCTCGAAAAAAGACCTGGCTACCAAATATTTGCTTCATTGCCATCAACGATTTGTTTGAGAATGATCTATTGAAATGTTACTGTGATACTCTGTTCGTCCCAAAATTATTAATGTTTTGAACGAATAATGATACTTTACAGTTACAAATTCGAGTTGTTGTAATAAAATTTTGAGTGAAAACCATAAGAGAAATAATGTAGTTTCGCTCTAACTTTGCAGTCATGAGATTCATTGATGGATCAAATTAAGACTAAAGATATGAGGTTTTTAAAAGATTCAGCGTTTCTTTGGAATTTTGTGTGTTTTTTGGACATTACATTATATTTCTGTGGAGAGTGTACAATTGATATTGTCAAGGAGAGTGTAATTTCAACGAATAAGAACTAAGTTGTGTGTCCTTGCGTGTCCCTTTTGATTTCATTAAGAATTCTTTTTATTGCAAACTGAAAGTTTCCAAGGAGACAGCAACCAGTTCTTAGTTTTATTCGTACAATAAAATTACTGCATTTTGAGTATCTGTATCTCGACATTTTTCATTAAAAGTTTCCTGTATTTTTTGTACATTCCGTTGGACACTTGCAATAACTTTGCACTAAGAGTCTAAGACGCATTCCTGACTAATATTTTGCTGCATTTTCTTCCCCTTTCTTGTTTGTTTATTGTAAGGGAGGTGGACAAAAAAGCGACATTGTTTTGGCTAATTCGAAGTTTGTAGCTTTGTGCATTTAGAAGTATACCAGGTCTGCAACAATGCAACCTGTGAGAATTTTCATTTCTTGGTTTTGGCGGTTTTTGTATTTGTCCTTCAGTAGTGGGTTGTAATGCAAGAGCGGAGCTTCAAAGGGAAACTTTTTGTCTTTTTACTTGAGAATTCTCCCTCTGGATCTTCCATTTTTTCTAGTTTCTTTCACAAAGCTGTTTTCCTTTTTTTTTTTTGTAAATAATTGAAGATGTCAATACCTCCATTGGTTGCATTTCTTCCTGATTGACTTATATATCATTGCTGAATGTCCATTTGTCCTGTGAGACAAAGTGCACTCCCTCGGCCCTCTCGCTGCTGAAATTGATGAACACAAGCTTTCAAATTCTTTAGTTAAAAAAAACTTGATCTTGGTTTCCGGTTTTTTTGCCGGGAACAATATGGATACTGATAAAACTACAGTTGCTATGGAAGCTATCAGTAAGGAAATAGTTGATTTGGTAAGTGCTTTCGATTCAAAGAGTCGCAGATTGTTGTTTCATTTAAGTGTTAAGTACCATGATGTTACAAACTTAGTTATTGAAAGTTTGAGGCCGTTAATGAAATTGCATGACAAGTACTAACTGGTTACTGTTCTGTGTGTTGATCCCTTACATGAACCTATGATCTTTTCCAATGGCAGGAAAATATTCCTATCATAGAAGTTTTTGAGAAGTTGAAATGCACTGAAGAGGGTCTCAGCAGTGATGAGGTTCAAGCGCGTTTAGGTGTGTTCGGATACAATAAACTCGAAGAGAAGAAGGTCTGTCATACGCGTTACACTTTTTTGTTTTCTTTCTTCTTTGTTTCTTATCTCAGTATCATGGATCAACAAAGAGATTATCATTCTCAGTTTTGTTGATCTCCTGATATGTGTACTTTTTGGTTCTCTGAAGGAGAGTAAAATACTCAAGTTTCTCGGTTTTATGTGGAATCCTCTCTCGTGGGTCATGGAAGCGGCAGCAATTATTGCAATTGCAGTTCCACGCAAAGTGGTATAACTCCGCTTATCTAATCTCTCTTGGTGAAATTTTACGGTCTATGAAAAGCATTCGTCGCTTATCTTGTCAGTATTATATTGCAGGATCATAAGAAAGAAGTCGATTTCCAAGATTTTGTAGGAATTCTTGTACTGCTTGTGATCAATTCAACTATAAGTTTCATAGAGGAAAATAATGCTGGAAATGCAGCAGCAGCCCTTATGGCTCGGCTGGCGCCAAAGGCTAAGGTCAGTTTTCTGAACAAGGCATTGGATATATTCAAAGAACAGCGAAAAGTTTTGCAGGGCATGTGATATGTTTTACATCATCCTTATGTCTTAGGTTCTGCGAGATGGCAAATGGTCCGAGGAAGATGCAGCGGTGTTGGTTCCAGGAGACATTATAAGCATAAAACTAGGGGATATTATCCCGGCAGATGCAAGACTACTACAAGGGGATCCTTTAAAAATAGATCAGGTGCTGGATTTTAGTTTCTGGCAGAAGTTATTAATGCATAAATGAGTAATTTTCCATTGTTCCAAGATTTTATTCTTTCGTAGAATTTCCAGTTAAAATTCTAGTCATTCGTTATTTTCAAGTCAATCTCCTTTTTTTTTTTTTTTTCTCTAGCAATATCTAATCAAAATAAGTTCCTTTCAGGAAACTTCACACTGATTGTTTCACTACCTATTTCATTTCCAGTCTGCTCTTACAGGAGAGTCACTGCCTGTAACCAAGCATCCTGGAGATGTAATATACTCAGGTTCCACATGCAAGCAAGGGGAAATCGAGGCTGTTGTTATCGCAACTGGTTTGCACACTTTCTTCGGAAAAGCAGCTCACCTGGTGGAAAACACCACACATGTTGGTCACTTTCAGAAGGTAAGCTCCAAATGAACCTTTTCATTTTGTTCTTTCGCTATCTACGTCTTCTTTGTTTTTTCCGTCGGTAAGTTAACCTATGCTGATCTTTATAGTTGTTCTCATTAACATACGCAAGTGGATATCTTTGGTATAGTTGGTAAGGTATGGTTACCAGTAAAGTAGGACTTACATTGGCCTAATGTTTCAGGTGTTGACAGCTATTGGTAACTTCTGTATTTGCTCCATTGCCACCGGCATGGTGTTTGAAATGATCGTAATGTTTGGACTGCAACGTAGGCATGCTACAGATGGAATAGCCAATCTTCTTGTCCTGCTGATTGGTGGTATTCCTATTGCTATGCCAACAGTTCTTTCTGTTACCATGGCCATCGGTTCCCATCGCCTATCACAGCAGGTTCGTAGAGTCTGTAGTCTGGCCCTTTCATGCTTTCAGAACAAATAGTACACAGTCACTTTAGCTTCCATATGTTAAGACAAACAATGTTTCTTTGAGGACTCAAAATTCAAGTACAAAACGTTCTCTACAGGGTGCCATAACCAAAAGGATGACAGCAATTGAGGAAATGGCAGGGATGGATGTATTATGCAGTGATAAAACAGGAACCTTAACTCTCAATAAACTCTCAGTGGACAAAACTATGATTGAGGTGATTCTTTTTTTTTTTTTCCACTTTCAGCAGATTTAAAGTTCAGATTTTAACATTTTGGTGAAAGTTGTAAACTCGGTAATCATTTAACATTCACTCAGAGATGTTGTGATAAAACTTACTTCAGAACTGATTTTTTTTTTTGAAATATCACAGATTTTCACAAAAGGCGTTGACAAGGACACTGTTGTTTTGATGGCTGCAAGAGCTTCAAGATTGGAGAATCAAGATGCAATTGACACTGCAATTGTATCAATGCTAGGAGATCCTAAGGAGGTAGAGTCCATTAAATATACCAGACCATATATTACATCCTAGATTTTTCATAAACTTCATAGTTTCCCAAAACCTTGCTCAATAAATGACTTCTAGAACTTGTAAGGATTAGCAAAAACAATTATCAGCAATTTAACAATTCCATAGCTGGAATATCCTTCTGTTGTAGGTCAAGTTATAACTTTGCAATTTTTAATCATGCCAGGCTCGAGCGGGAATAACTGAAGTTCACTTCCTCCCTTTCAATCCAACTGATAAAAGGACTGCTCTTACCTACTTAGATGGTGCTGGTAAAATGCACAGAGTGAGCAAAGGTGCGCCAGAGCAGGTAATGAATACTTGAAAAGTGACTGAAACTCATCGCATGTATAAGCGTTAGAGCCCTGAAGATTATAATGCATTATCATTCTTGCAAACTACTGTCTTACACATTTAAAAGTGGCCAAGAAAATTGAGGGATGAATTATGATGAAACCATGATGACATTTTTTAGATTGTAACACTGTTTGCGACTGTGGTTTGGATATAATTATATGAGCTTAAGGTGACTTCAAACTTTTGTTTCATCATTGGCTCTATCAATTTGCAACATCCAGATACTTAACTTGGCCTACAACAAAAGTGATATAGAGAAGAGGGTTCACTCTGTGATTGATAAATATGCTGAAAGGGGTCTTCGTTCCCTGGCAGTTGCCCGCCAGGTAAATAGATCTGACTCTTCAACTGTTCTGTTTATCATATCTCCTTTTCGGTGGTGAGTGATCATTTCATATGTCATTGCAGGAAGTACCTGAAGGTACCAAAGACAGCCCTGGTGGACCTTGGGAATTTGTTGGCCTGCTTCCTTTATTTGATCCTCCCCGGCATGATAGTGCTGAGACTATAACAAGAGCTTTGAATCTTGGAGTTAGCGTCAAGATGATTACTGGTAAGCTTATGAAAATATTGTACTGATTTCAAAATTTTCTGAAAGAAACTTGACCATCTTTGTGTTTTTTCAATGTTGCTTTTTGCTTTTGGCTTCAGTAAACTAAGATGTATGGAGCCATGAATGAAATTATTTTTTGAGGCTATTGTACATGTAATATGCTCTCTGACGGGCGACATTTTTCAGGTGATCAGTTGTCCATTGCTAAGGAAACCGGGAGACGCCTTGGAATGGGTACAAACATGTACCCTTCATCTTCTTTACTAGGAGATCACAAGGATGCGTCAGCTGCAGTGCTGCCTATTGAAGAACTCATCGAACAAGCAGATGGTTTTGCTGGTGTTTTTCCTGGTAATTGAGTCCTGAAGAAGGATAATATGTTTCACATTTCAGTATTTGTTTTCTGAACTCAGTTTGCTATCTCATTTGTAGAACACAAATATGAAATAGTGAAGATACTGCAAAGCAGAAAACACATATGTGGGATGACTGGCGATGGAGTAAATGATGCGCCAGCTTTGAAGAAAGCCGATATAGGGATTGCAGTAGCAGATGCAACAGATGCAGCAAGAAGTGCCTCCGATATTGTTCTAACTGAGCCTGGTCTTAGCGTTATAATTAGTGCAGTGTTGACAAGTAGAGCCATTTTTCAGAGAATGAAGAACTACACTGTAATATAAGTTTAAAGTTTCTTTACGGCCTTCAAGTAAAGTACAACATTCCTAATTTATGAGCTCTAATGTGTCTTTTCTTGTACAGATCTATGCAGTATCTATTACAATCCGTATTGTGGTAAGTTCACTCATAACACCAAACTCTGGCTCTGAAATAAGAGAAGCTTAAGAAATCATCCAAAAAATCACTCAGTACTTCTCATTGTTGTGATCTCTTAACAGTTAGGATTCATGCTGCTGAATGCGTTTTGGAGATATGACTTTCCTCCTTTTATGGTTCTTGTCATAGCAATTCTGAATGATGGTAATGTCGAAATCTCTTTAAATATCAACATTTTTGATTCCAGATTAGTCGGGAAATTTAATTCAGTTTTTTTGCTCTCCAGGTACCATCATGACTATATCCAAAGACAGGGTTAAGCCATCTCCACTTCCTGATAGCTGGAAACTCAGTGAAATATTTGCAACAGGAATTATCATTGGGACTTACCTTGCACTGATGACTGTTATATTTTTCTATATGGCCTATGAAACTAGCTTCTTTGCAGTAAGTCGTTTGTTCAGAAACTTGAACCCTCAAGAAAGAAAGCAGATGATAAGTTGTCCTAATCATGTCTTGTCTTTTCCAGAAACGGTTTCACATTGAAGACTTCAATCATAGAATGCACAATCTCACAGATGAAACTGTGAAACAACATCTACATGCTCAGTTATCATCTGCTGTCTATCTTCAAGTCAGCACCATCAGTCAGGCGTTGATCTTCGTGACACGCTCCAGGGGATGGTCGTATGCAGATAGACCAGGCCTTCTTCTTCTTGGTGCCTTCATTGTTGCTCAGTTGGTAAGACCTTGCTTTATAAAGTTGATGCAGAATACCTGCATTACTTCATAAACACAATGACAATGAGAACCGGTTCACATTAGGCCTTTTAACAAACATCACAGCCTGTTTTGTGAAAATAACTGATAGATCATAGATGAAGTTTAGAATGCATATACTGCCCTTAAAAAATACATTGATTTGTTATTGTCTTTTCAGTTCGCGACGGTATTATCTGTCACAACTACATCAAAGTTTTGCAAAATCAGAAAGATTTCAGTGGGATGGGCTCTGGTCATTTGGGTGTATAATTTCTTATGCTATCTGTTGCTCGATCCAATCAAATTCGCCATTCGGTATTCATTGAGTGGAAAAGCATGGGATTTGCTGCTAAACCAAAGGGTAAGAGCAAAAAGACATTTACAATGAGAACTTTCTAACCATTCCATTTTTCTAGTTGAGGTATATTTCTCATGTTCTTGAACTTCTCTAACATTATTGGTTTTACCTATCATATTTAGATGGCTTTCTCAACACAAAAGGATTTTGGCAAGGAGGTAAGAGAAGCAGCATGGGCAGCTGAGCAGAGAACACTTCACGGGCTTCAATCCCTAGAATCAAAAGCAGTCCCTGACAAGTATAACTTTGGGGATATCAGTGTCATGGCTGAAGAAGCAAGACGGCGCGCGGAGATTGCAAGGTCAGTCTTTTATATACACCTGAATGTTCTGAAGAAATTACTCCATCCGTCCCAAAACAATAATGGTCGCATTGAACTATTTTTAGTCTCTGAATATAATGGCTAGTATTATTTTGGGACGAAAGCAGTACGATAGAAAGAGCTATAATGTTTGCTTTTGTACTTGAAACAGATTACGGGAACTTCACACATTGAAAGGACGGGTGGAATCCTCAGCAAAACTTCGAGGAATTGATTTGAACGAAGTCAGCTCACACTACACTGTCTGATTAACAATCTAAAATTTCTGTCTTCTCCATTTTAGAGATTCCCGGTGGCAAAAACTGAAATTGTGTATCCAATGCTCGAACGAAATGACACTATTTCTCGCCATTGTATCCTCATCATTGTGCTGATTATCTCGCCCCGAGTAATCTGCATGAAGAAATGCAATAAAAGAACCTTCAAAAGAATGGATTGGGTCATGTGGTAATTCGGGCTGTGAAGGCAATTTTTTTTTTTTTTTCAATAATAGATGATACTCATCTTCCCGTCCAATTTTATTAGTGTAATTTGTTGTACTGAAAATATTCATAATGACAAATTCATAATGACTTCATGTTAAGCAAGTTCTGAATGCAAGTCTTATTACAAACTTTCTTGTTTTAAAATTAACCCATTTGGTTATACCCCCAAAAAGAAAACAGAAAAAAAAAAAAAAACAAAAACAAACAAACAAAGACTTAACCTTCTGCGAGGAAACTTTTAATGTTCAAAAACTTTGTTGTAATCATATGCAACTTGATTAGTAGAATCTTGTTCCTCATGATTTGACAACCAGATTAAATTGCGCTAATTCTTTTGAAAACCCATTGCTATTCTAAGTATAAATATAAAGTCATTCCAGGAGGAATAATGGTTGACATTTCCACTAGTTCAAGAAATATTGTACCTGCAGTTTGAACCTACTTAATTACAAATAAAACCAAAAAATTGGGTTTGTTAGGGGTTTCGTTGGGATCCAACGAAGGTCATTTATGTAAAAAGATTATCACCGGCTCAAAAAATTTATGACTTATACTAAAAATAAAAATCTGAATTGAACAGAGGAATTATTAAATGACGAACAAATGACAAAAATATATAAGGACAGTATGCCTATAGCATTTTCTAATCTTCTTGCAGGTGAGGAGAGCAAATTAAATCAATTAAAGTGGAAATATGTATAATATTACAGGATTTTGGAGAAATGCATTTTCTATATATATGCAACAAAATTTGGAACTCCAAAACTCGGACCGAGAAAATAATTAAAAAAACAAACGAAAACTAGGATTTCCATTGCATCATGGTATCTTGTAGAGATTGAAGTGTCGCGAAATGTAGCTGTTCTTCCCTGTCAATGATCGAACCATCCAAAAACAAGTCAATCAAGATTACCACATAAGTAGGGAATATTAAAGCAAATTATGTTCGTCACATTTGAAAATACCAAAACCAATTTGACAAACATTTTAGAAAATAACGGGGGGCAAAAAAAAAATAAAAAAAAATCTAACAACATAAAGGAATATGAAAAGATGCTGCAAATCCATCAAATATATCAATCCACCCACAATGTATGCAGGTTTGAAGGCTTGATTATAAAATAGACCTGACCCAAATGTCGATGCACATGTAAATTTGCTTCATTTATCGCTTGTTGATTTGTGGTACTAAGAAATGTATAAAACCAACAAATGTATTGAAGTATTGAATATAAGTTTCTCCCATAAGGCATAGTTGTTGAATATTTGAAGTTAGATTATTGTAAAGTTAGAATTTTTAAACACAAAACATACATACTGTAGTTGACGTAATGACAGGCAGCACTTAGCTTGCCGTTATTCTCATTTTACATTATTACCAAAAGAAATCGTAACCCTTTGGTTTTCTAGCCTTTTTTCAAGTAAATATGTATAAAATTCATTAGCTGGATCCATAGTTCCAATTCAGTTGTTAATTAAGTGATTACAATATGTAACCAGTTGGAAGTGGTTGAGATGTCTTACCCTCTACTATGTACCTCATTTTTGTACTAATAACTTATTAAATTATTAGTATCCAGCAAAATCAATATTATAATTCATCTTTCCAAATATGAAAAATGAAATTCATTTTCACAAATCTAATCTTATTTTATATATATAAAACTTGTATCGTCAGCCGCTTTTCCAAGACGACTTCTTTTCTAGCATATCACAATCTTCACGTTTTTGTTGACAACCTGCCAAGTAATATAATAGTACTCCCTCCGTCTCATAATTATTGTCCAATTTGGGTTTTATTTCTGGTTCAAATTGTACTAAAAATGAAACCTCAAACTGGACAATAATTTTGGGACAGAGGGAGTATTAGCAATTTCTCCTTTTTCATATAAGAAAAGTTGTAGTCATCTTTTTTTTTTTTTTCTCACGTGTTTACTGATCTTGTAAATGAATATATAATTTGTTAGGGAAGATATTTATACTCTTGAGAGGAATCATGAACTTGTAAATTATGTATATATCAAAAAAGAATCTAAAACATTGCAAAGTTACATTCGGGGATATGCACTAATAGCCATGCAAAAAAATAAGAAGATTTTTAGTTGATTTTCCACGTAAGTTTGTCACGATGCCATGAGGGGAACATTCCAGACCACAAATTTCACTAGCCAATATATTTTTTCTTTTGGTGTTCAATTATTCAGAAACTAAAATTTCATTGGAGAACACCATGGATTTCAATTATTGCTATTATAATTTTTGTTCTATCTTCTTAGCTTCTAGGTAATTTCTATCCATTTGCATGTGTTTCTTATGCCCAACTCTTTTTGTACACATTTGAGTCAGTATTTTAGTTTGCTCCGCCTGAGAATCCCAAGGATTCCCCTTGTTTTTGTATAGCACTTATACGTAGTACGAGGGAATATTAGATGGACTATTACATTAGTGTTTAGAAAAGAATCAAACTTTATTGTAAGATTATCCTGACCAACCAGAGTTTTTTTTATAAATTGGGATCTTGGGGTGACTGGAGATTGGATGTAATTAAGTAGTTGCAGAGTGTGAAAAAAATGGAGCTCAATCTTTCTGGTGCTAACTCATTGTCTGTGTCCAAGGTTGCTGGAACAGAGAAGTTATCGAGCTTGTTTATGAACTCAGCCCTCATTTTCAGCTGCAAAGGTGCTAATTATACTCAATCCTTGTCTTGTAGAGGTATGTTTTTCTCAAAGATTGATGAGGGATTTTCTGGGTTTTCTTTTTTTGGCTTCAAGAAATGGGAGATTTTTGGTAACTAGCTAGTTTCAGTCATCATTGATTTTCTCCTCTGCTCTTTCACAACCCTGCATTTTCCATCAATTGAATGTTCTTGGACTTTGTTCAATCTAGTCTATTGTGTGCGTATCACTATCATTATAACTGATTCATTTCAAGTTTTCTGTGAAAAAAATCAATGATAATGTTCCTATTCCGCAATCTTGTTGTGAAGAGGGAAGGAGAAAGTGTGAGTCTGTTTTTATGTTTCCAATGAAACAGCTGTGTTAACATTGTTTTAGTCCTTGTTATGCAACAATGTCATCAATAGAGCTGCTGACAGAGGTTCTGGTTTTCATGTGTAAATGAACATTTCTTCTTTAGGCGTGAATCTGTCTCAATTGCGCCGATTTTGATTGCTGGTGTTCGTGATTTCAGGTACATATACAAAGGCTTCTTATTCAAGTATTTGGCAGAATACGATTAGATCAGCCAGTGGTGAAGAAGTTTTATTTCAGTCGTACAGAGTCAATGGTACTAATGGTTCAAGCATGTATGTTGAGAGTGCCAGAGTTCTTGATGCATATGATGATGAGTACAATGGAGTCATTGTTCATCCAGAAAGCCTGCCTTCTAACCCCACTGCTTTTGCCTCCATGCTTCGTTTATCAATCACACATTGGAAAAGGAAGGTAAAAAACACTTTTCTTCTGCTCACTTTTTTCATCACTCATCAGTATAGTAGTGACTGCAGTCTGCAACTCTTTTTAGGCCACAATATTTGACGAAGCGATTCATGTCGAATCTCTAGAAAAACTATGACCCTTTGATACTAAACTCTTCACTACTTTAGGTGGATAAAGTTAACGATTTTGTTTACCATCTATGTCGTTATGAGCATCAAAACTTCATTCATCTCACCACGCGAGAATTCGCTTTGTCATGGCAATCTTTTCAGGGCAAAAAGGGGGTATGGCTGAAGCTTCCAATAGAAAAATCTGACCTTGTTCCTATAGCAGTGAAGGTACATTTCTGGACTTCAAAGTTTGCATTATAGAAGCTAGGGTAGGAGCTATATATGCTTACAGCAATGATACAGATATTGACAAGACCATAGTAACTTAATTGTGCGAAACTTATGTTGGTTCTAGAAGAGAATGATATTCATTGAGGTACGTGACTTCTATATCTTGTGGAGTAATGCCTGTCTTATTATTGTAATTTATAGGAAGGATTTCAGTACCACCATGCTGAAAAAGATTATGTGATGATGACATATTGGATTCCTGAAGAACCCTGCTTACTCCCACCTAATGCTTCTCATCAAGTTGGTATTGGGGGATTTGTGATAAATGACAGAGATGAGGTACATTTGCTTGTTACAAAATGAGGCTAGTCTGAGTTGGTGTTTTTGGTAAACGATTAATGGATGCCAATGAACCAGTTATAAATACTAATATGACGAAATATCACTGACTTTTGCATCTCCCTGGATCACAGGTGCTTGTGGTACAGGAAAAGTATTGTGCGGCAGGACTAGAAGGACTCTGGAAAATACCTACCGGTTTCATTCTTGCGGTATAAGTTACAGTTTTAAATCATGGTTTAATTAGGTCTAAAGCCTTCGAAATCTTTGAATGACGATAAAAATCAAAAACTGCCTCAGTAATTTGCTTCGCTTTCTGTACCATTGGCAGTCAGAGGAGATATTCACTGGCGCAGTACGAGAAGTGAAGGAAGAAACTGGAGTAAGATCTCAACTTCCAAAGGCCTCTTTAAATCTCTACTCTAATCATAAAGAGTGGATAGTATAACCAGTCCATTAAATACGATATTTGTTTTTTTATTTTCCAGGTTGAAACTGAATTTGTGGAAGTTATAGCTTTCAGGTAATAACAATCATTCTTGTTTTTTCCATCTTTTCCATGAACAGATACTTGGAACCTAAACAGGCCTTTCTTGAACCAAAAAAGAGAGAAGTAATTATGGCTTCTGCATTAGCCATATCTATGAACTTCATTGCAGATTTTATCTGCATGATCTTTGTAGTTTCTTTTACAAGCATCTGTTTCTTTTACAAGCATCTGGGATCTTTCATGAAGTAACAAATGGAAATCGCAAAATTTGACTTTATGTGACTTAAAAAAAGTGGATTTATGTTTCAGGCATGCTCACAATGTGGCTTTTGAGAAGTCAGATTTGTTCTTCGTCTGTATGCTACATCCCCTTTCAACACAAATTAAGCTTGATGATCATGAAATTCATGCAGCCAAGGTAATCATGTCTTATAATCACCAGTAAAGTGCATCACTATTCTAATCTTAGACCATACATTTGTATCCGGAAGTCATTTACTGATATGATCAAAAAAGTCCAGCAGACAACTTAATTATCTCTGCTGAATTATGTACATTCCCCTGATTTCATAATGCAGTGGATGCCCTTGGTCGAGTTTGTTGGGCAGCCCTTAATCCAGCAAGACACAATGTTCAAGAAAATCATTGACATATGCATTGCTAGGCTCGGAAAGACTTACTGTGGATTAGCAGTTCATCAATTGGCATCCAAGTTTGATGGCAGACTTTCCTCTTTATACTTCAACACTGTTGAGGACAAAAACTCAACCTGTCAGGCCAGTTGAGTTTCGCATACAACAGGATTCAAATCGAGTACTATTTTAACTCCGATAACGTGTGGTTGACTTGAATGGTAAATGCTTCATTTGCTGCAATCTCCACCATTTTCATGGCATTAGAGAGTTTTTGCAGCTTCCACTGTAAGGAGGGGTTGGCCTAATCATTGTTGAACAGCCTCCTCTGTTGTATATATCTTGAAATGCACTATGTAACAGTTGTATATATCTGATCGTCTTCATCGCCTAATCTGTTTGCTGTTTGATAGAGAGAAACTTTGCTTGCAGAATCTTGTGTTGCAATGAATAGGAAGCTGCTTTAGTCAAAGGGAAGAAAGGAAAAACTATCACTATTATCAGTTGCCTTAATTGGTGAATACGATTGTAAAGCCACAGCAAAAGAGGACTTTTTCAAAAAAAAATATTCAAGCTAAAAATTGCCTTGAAATGATTCCAGTTGGGGATGAACACAATTGACCTTGCTAAAACAGTAAAACTATCTAAATATTTTGATACAGCAATTTCCACCAAAACATAATGGAGCCAAGGATTTATTTCCTTTGGAGGAGTATTACACAAATAAACTCCTAATCCGAACGTAGTCGCGAAATGAGCAATAGAATCAGTCGCAAAATTAAACTCATGAGCTAGCAAAACTAATTTGATGAAGATTGAAGAGGTATTCATCTATGAGATGGTGAAGTTCAACCAGTGACAAAAAAGAAAAAGAACAAAATAAATTAATTAATTAATAATTGGATGCTAGCTTATTTCAAGTTCTACATTGTAGACTAAATCACAGAAAACGTTTTATACATTTGGGCAAAAAATCATTTTCGTCCCTTCATTTCAAAATGCTCATTTTCGTCCTATTTCATCCAACAAATACGATTTTTTTTTACTATTTACGTCCCAAGTTAACTTTTCATCCAACTGAACGTTAAAATGCAGGGGTATTTTCATCTATTAGCCTGACTTTTGGGTTGTAGATAATTAAGAATAAAATTAAGAGACGGAAGAATATGGAATTTGAGATGCACTGACTTCATGAGGAATTGGCAGTGGCACCACACGTGCAAAAATTACAAACTAATTAAATAAAATTATTGCAAGAATTTAATTTAAGAAACTTTTAGTTGGAATATTCATTAGATTTTGTTCCTTTATGGGCGTGTGGACATGATGACCACTTCCTATAACTCTGCTTTCATTGTGGAATCTTCGTTGAGATGGTAGCCAACTTTGAAGTGAAAGTGCACTTTAAACTTTATAGCTTAGTGGTTCATTTTTAAACCAGTGTGACCGATCAATCTCTTCATCGCCAACTCCGCAGTTGCGCAAAGCCAACTCCAACTCTGCGAATCTGAGTAGCTCAATCAATTTTCTTTGAATTCTAGATCTATACAAGCAAGGCCAGAGAATGAGATTTGGGTGTCACGTACCGGGGATTACCACCATTCTGTCACGTACAGTGGAAGCTGATCCAACAACTAAAAAAGAGACTCCGAGCAACATCAATTCTCAATTCAGTTGTGCCAAAGAGAGAGTTAAATTACAGTGACGCAACTCAGATTGGGAGTGTTCCAATGGTGGCTATGAAATCGTTTACACTCAATCGAAACGGTCGGGATGGGATGGGAATCATTTTGATGGAACAAATCTGAAAAACCAACTGAGCGTGTGCCCAGGTAATCAATGCCTCAAAAAAATTTGGCGCATAAAATCCAATGTGCGAGATTTTAGAAGCTCTGCGGTAGAGGTGAAACCTCAACAGGATAACTGTAGCACTCTTCAAGCTCCATTGATTCATCTAGAGGCGGTGGACCTGTGCATTCCTACGCCCCCATATGGTAACAGTTCTAATTCCCATTTGCCTCAAACTTTTAATTTCGGCATGATGAATCAGGAATATGAAAGTGGCTTACCTAGGCTTGATTCCAATGCACCTAGCCATCCTTTAGGCAGCTTAATTGCTATGGATTCGCATTCTTGAATGCCGATTTTTTTTTGGAGGGTGATCACTTTATACAACATACGGCCTATCCTTGTGGTGATGCAACTAAACAGTGGCGGGGAAAAAGATTTTCACTTCTGTTAGGCGAGTGACACAAAAAATCTTGCACCAACTGGTTGAAATAATTCAAAAAATGTCCAATAGCTGACAGGAGCAGTTTAAGCATTAGTTGCACCTTTAAGGTCCATGATATTTACCCCTTAAGTAAGAAGCGGAAGATAGAAAATGTAGAAGGGAAAAGCCTACCTTGCAAGAAGAGGAAAATCACACATTTATGGGTGCCAACACTTATGGAAATCGCTTCCAAGGTGGCGATCTCAGCAGCTCCTTTCACCAGCTTAAGGGATATTCAAGAGAAAGTTATTTTTGCTTGGGGACAGAACGACTCGTCGTCAGGAAAGTTTGGCCAACATACGGGGGTTTCAAGGTGCAATGAATTCATGTTGGACAACACAACTAGCCAGGTACATTATCTAAACTCCTATTTGAATGTGCATTTTACTGAGAGTGAGACAGAATCTATAAATAGTTTTGCAGTGGTTGTACCAGATCAACCGTCTCTGTTTCCATGAGTATCTTATCCTGGAACTGTAGAGGCATAAATAATGCCTCTACAAAGCATTGTATTAGTAGATTATGTAGGCACTATAAACCTTCTATTTTGTTTTTAATGGAGACTAGGGCAAAAACTAGTGTTATAGATGTTTGGCAGCAGACCACTTCTTTTAGAAACCCTTTTGTAATTGATCCGGTAGGATCTAGTGGTGGTATCGCCTTATTTTAGTTATATGGAGTGTAACTTTGTATAGTATTGCACACTGCAAATGTAATAGTAGCAAGGGTCAAGAAACCCTCTGGTGCTGAATGGTTGGGTGTCTTCCTGTACGACCTGCCTTCTCATCAAGGTAGAGTTGAATTTTGGACCCAGCTTAACAATAATCTCAGCAGTCTAAACTATCCAATGATAGTTTTAAGAGATTTTAATCAAGTCACTAGCTAGGAAGATAAGAATGGTGGAAGATTAGTGAGGGACCAGGACACGAGGCCAATCAAACAGTTCTTAACCCCGAAACTTGGAAGAACTTATTCACACAGGATGTTAGTATACTTGGACTAACAAGAGACAGAATCAGGACTCAATCTTTGAAAGGCTTGATAGAGCTTTTGTCAACAGGCAATGGTTTACTTGCTTTCCTAAAGCAGTTATCCGAAATCTGCCCATAATGATCTCTGATCATGTACCAATACTTGTACAACTCAAAGACAAAAAGCAAAAACCAAGGAGGCATAAAAAATTTGAGTAATTCTGGTCCAAATGTCCTAGATCAAAAGAACTGATTAACAGAGGTTGGACCTAGGGTACCTTACAGATTAGTAATCAGCAGGAGAAGCTTTCTTACCAGCTGAAATCTAGCCTCATCAGCCTTCACAACTGGAGTAAAGAACACTTTGGCAACCTTGACAATTGGTGATCAAACTCACAGATCAACTAGCATCCTTGCAACTGCAATGGGAATCCAACCTGCATAATCACCACCTCTCCTCCCAACTGGGAAATAAGAGGCAGGAACTAGAAGAGACTTTACAACTCCAACATGATTATCGGTAGCAGAGAGCAAAACTGATCTAGCCTCTACAAGGTGATCGGAATACCAAGTTCTTTCATAAATGGCCAACCAGAAGAAAAGGAAACAATTGGATTACTGAGCTATGTAATGAGGGTCACTGGTTACATGAACCTGAACAAATTTCCAATATGTTACAACAACACGTTGCAGGAATTTATTCAGTGACTCAAGATGCTGCATTGTGCCCAAATGATTCTCCTTTTATGGGACAACTATTGCAGAATGTCCAAGAGGTTCTCTCCCCTGAGCAGGCTGACTCCATAGCTCAACCATTTAGTGCTCCTGAACTGTGGGAAGCTGTCAAACAAATGTCTCCTTAGAAGCACCGGGACCTGATGGGATGCTTGATGGTTTCTACAAAAGATACAAGCACATTATTGGACAGGATGTTGAACACACCATTCTGGATGCCATCAACCAACAACAGTTCCCTAAAGAATGGAATCAAACTAGCATAGTCCTCATTCCAAAAGCACTCAATCCAGCTATTCCCAGTGATTTTCGTCCAATCAGTCTTTGTAATGTCAAATGCAAAATCATTACAAAGATGATAACAAAAAGACTGAAATCTATCATCCCGGATCTCATTGATGAGCATCAAAATGGTTTTGTCCCCGGTAAAAATATCAGTAAGAACATCCTTCTTGCTCATGAAGTGATAGAATGCATTAAGAAAAAGGAGGGAGACTTGGGACTGGCTGCTATCAAGTTGGACATGAGTAAAACTTATGATCTTGTCTCATGGCCTTTTCTGGAAGCAGTAGTTGGTTTTCCATCAAATGTGATCAAATTGATCATGCTTTGTGTCACTAATGTCACTTATTCCATCCAATTAAATGGGGAAGGCCTTCCATATTTTATACCGAGGGGGGGTCTCAGACAGGGATGCCCACTTTTTCCTTATCTCTTTATTCTATGTCAGTAAGTATTATCTTCAGTAATCAGGGCAGAAATTCAAACCTTCTCGGGACTAGGGATTAAGGTTAGCAGAAATGCACCCCGCATTAGCCATTTAATGTATGTTGATGACAGTTTATTTTTCATAGAATGCAAGGAAACCTCCATCCAGGCATTAGCAGCTTGATTGAGGCCTATGCTGCATTCTCAGGACAAAAGATCAACTACCAAAAGTCTTCAATCCTATTGAGCTTAAACACTTCTCCTTCTATAAGAAGTCTCATCCATACAACTACCAAGATTACTGAAGGGAATTTTCAGAGCAAGTACTTGGGTCTATCCTTAGATTTCAAGGAAAAGTAAAGACTTCACAGCCAGATTGTCTAACAAGTTTGCAGACTGGAAAACAAAGCTCCTCACTTTTGCTGGAAGGGTTACCTTAGCAAAGTCCACACTGTCAGCCATGTTAGTCTATCCAATGGGAGTTTTCAAACTCCCGGCATCCACTTACATAAAGCTGACAGTATTATTGCCAATTTCATTTGGAAAGGAGATGCCGAAACTAAAGGGATTCATTGGAGATCATGGAAAAAGATCAGTAAATCAGTGTTTCATGGCGGACTGGGATTAAAGGCCACTAAGGAGTTCAATCAGGCATTATTGGCAAAACATGCATGGAAGATACTTTCTCAACCGGAATCTCTAATTTCCAGAGTCTATCGGGCCAAATATTGCTCTACAGAATCATTTTCTCAGAGCCAGTCACCCAACAACGTGACCTGGGGATATAAAAGTGTATTATGGGGGGCTAGGCTCTTGCAGCATAACACTAAATGGAAAGTTGTTTCGGGAAGGAGCATTCATATTGCTGATGATTGGATTCCAAATCACCCAAACCCCATCCAGCGTGAGTCCTTTTTGGCAACACACTCTAATCTTATGGTCAGTGACCTCATTCGTCCCAATGGCCAATGGAAAATCTCTTTCCTTGGATCCATCTTCCCTGATCACATTATCCGATATATCACTGGAATCTTCATTGATCTAGCCAGAGCTTCAAAGAATGATAAACTTCTTTGGTTGAATACATCACATGGCAATTACACGGTACAATCTGGTTACCACACTGCATTGAATGGTGGTATTCATCACTTGTCCCAAACTCATCAACAACAACAGAGAGAAACTCAAATTTGGAAGAAATTATGGAATTCTGGTGTGCAGCCCACGCATGAAATGCTTTTTTGGCGGGCAGTTCTGAATGCTTTGCTATCGAAAGAAGGGTTGCAAAAACGGGGAGTACAAGTGGATCTCATGTGCCCGCGTTGTTTCACCCATATAAAGGACAATTAGCATCTTTTCTTCCAGTGCCCAATTTCTCAGGCAGTATGGAGTTTCGCTTAATCCAAATTCCAGTTAATTCTAAATGAGAATGCCACAACACTTCTTGAGTGATTTATTCAGTGGATACAGTCCTCTCCTCCACCGAAAGACATAGATTTATTCCTTTTGATATTCTAGAGAATCTGGTTAGACATGAATGACAAAGTGTGGCAATATCAAAGTATGGATCCCGTGATCTCCTGACGACTCATCCAGCAAGAATACATTCAACACAAAGTTGATTTACAGAGATGGAAATCCCTCCAGGCTTTAGATCATCAAGTCACTTTGCCAATGAGATTGCCAGATCATCAGGCAACGATAGTATTCGATGGTTCTTTCCATCCCATAACCAGAAGAGCAGCAGGGGCATGGAGAATAACCTCACCAACGGAGCAATTCATGCAAATTAAATCTGTGCAACTTTCAGCGCTATCAGCTTTTCAAACTGAAGTTATGACATGCCTTATGGCTCTCCAACAGGCTTCAGATTTTGGCCTAGTAAGTGTGGTCATCCATACGAATTGTGAACTATTGAAAACGAATCAAAGGCCGGATTCTCTCCCGACAGAGGCTCAAGAGGTAGTACTAGGTTACGTCAATTAAAGTCTATATTTCAATCTTGTACTTTAATTAAAGTTAGTAGGAATGATATCCGTGATCTACATAACTTAGCTTATGCTAAACTACAATGTAATAGTATAGGTACTTCGAATTAATATCCAAGTACCGATTAAAAAAAAACACGTTACATTGGGTTAGAGACAAATGTGAATTATATATGCTCCTTTGAAAATGATTTTTCATGATTCCTATATATCAAATTAGGTCTAATCACTAACATATTAGGAATACCTTATAAGTAATTTAAACCTTTTATTATGTATACATGGAATGTAATATTTAGCGTACTATACTATGATATATATATATATATTGTTTTGTCAAAAGCGATAATCATATTTAAAATAAAAGAGAATAAATCAACCATAAGGTTGGGCAGTACAATACAAGATTAAACTACACAATCCGATGATTGAGCTATTACAATCTGTCCCTACACGACTTCTCAACCCACAGAAGAGCAAAAAAGACACCATCTGTGAAAAAGCGTTGAGAAAGCTAAATTGGTCAAATTAAAACAACATCTCTGATAACTAAAAACTAGAATTATCCAAATAGATCTACCAAAGAAAATCCAGAGAGAACCAATGATACGATAAAGTTCCAGCCCCTATCTAATCCGAACTAAAACTGAATGTACTAGCAAAACTACCAAAAAAATTTAGAAGTTCTAGAGTTGGAGCTTTTCCTTCATCCTTGTAACTTTTGACTCCATGTTCTTCCCTATATCATGATTTTTTCTTCGATCTTCTTTGGATTTATACTTTATCTATCAGATCTGTTGAGAAGAACACCTAAAACCACTAAAATAAAAAACTACAACCTCCTAAAAGGAGGATTCGAGTTCTCCTACCGGAGAAAACGGACACCCATCAAAGGGTGAGCAAACACCCATTAAAGGGTGAGTGAAACTCCCCTAAGGGAGAGCTAACTGAAAAAGCTGAAGAAAACAGAAAAGAAAGAGATGAATTTGAGCTCTCCCATCCCCATCCATGGTGGATGGGGGAGAAAAGAGAAGAAAATATTTAGGGAATTTTAGAGAGAAGGGAGAGCTTTTTGGGTAGAGAGAGAAATTCCCCAACAATTATCCGAGCAAGATTCTATATTATGATATTTTTGACTTTTTTTTTTACTAATATAGCATTTTAAGTTTCGCCTCTATCTATGGTTTAAAAAAAAAAAAAACAGAAAAATAAGATAGTATGTAAGAAAATCATTGAAAAATTTTTTATTTGTATTTTTATTTTTTTTTGAAAGGGAAATTAGTCTATAAAAAAACAAACAGTATCATCTTTAACTGAAAAAAAAGAGCCCTTCGTAATCAACCCGACTGGAAATACGTGGAAGATAGCATAAAATTTACGATACAAACAAATATTACCATTATGTTCTTTAGAATTTAGAATGTATTTTAATTAAAGTCATATTGCCACAAACCAATCGAAGAAAATACTTGTTTTGTTTGTATTTTGTAGTATCTGGTTTAAAAGTTCAAGTTTGATTGGTATTTTAGTGGTGATGCCAAACTACCAATAATGGTAAACTAATCAGCAAGAAGACGTGTTATTTCACTTATTTGTTTTTGTCCGGAAAGTCGGAGACCTGCAAAAGCAAACATCCACTTTTTTTCATATATTCCGACCAATTATTTTACTCCCCCTCATTCCTCTTCTCTGTCTCATCTCATCCCTGAATTTGTTTTTTTCCAATCGTAGCTCCCAGAAACAGTAACATATTTCTCACTGAGATTTGCAGTTTACACTGTGATCTCTGATTGCCTGCCCTAATTTACACTATTATTCAAGATTCAATTAGGCTGTTTCTGACTCTAAATTCACCATCTTTATTGAGGTACTTGGCTTAAATTTGGAGGGTTCTCTCTGAAAATCATGAATTTCGATCTTTGATTGTTGATTTGTTGTAGATATCAATTAAAATTTAAAAGGGTTCTTTCTGAAAGTCTTACAGTTTCTTGCTCTTCTGTGTATTTCATTCTAAAGGGTTCTCCCAAATTTTCTTGGTGGGTGCTGAGCTTGAGCTAGAAGAATTCTTAGGTGTTGCAGTGAATCTACAATGCGTTTGTTTCCACTGAGCTCGAGTTCAACTCCGTCCAAAGATCAGAATGGCGAGAAAAATCGGGCCTTGCTGTATCTAAATGTTTATGATTTGACGAATATAAACAACTACCTTTATTGGTTTGGCTTTGGTATTTTCCATTCTGGTATCGAAGGTATAGAAAGCTTTGGTCTTTCCTTTATTTTTTTTCCCCATATAGTCTATATTTGCTTCTCTCTTTTTGTTTATTTATTCTTTTCTGCTGATGTTGTTTCTCTCAACTCTGGAATGTTAATTTGGGTTCAGTTTGATCTCTTGATAAGGGGGGTTTCGAAAATAAGGATGTGCATCTGAAAAGCATATACCTTTAGTTTAGAGCGAATAAGAGTTCATGGATAACTGTTTCTTATTTGTTTCGTTTTTTATGCACTACTTTGATCATCGGAATTACCATTTTAGATGGTCTTCTATATCAAGCAGAGCCTAATCAAGACGGAAAACTTATGTAGGATTTAGACTTATCATGAACATGCGAAAAATGGTCTGTGTATTTCTATTACTTTGTCACTTACAGCTGAAGCATTTACGGTCAGAGTATTCCCCTTCAGAACGTGAACTTTTAGATGATGCCATTAATAGTGATCATTACAATGTACTGATGTCTAGATGTCTATTCTATCCCTTGATGTTATTTGGAGACCCTTGTATGTGTATTGACATCTATGGCTGTTTACTATAATCTCATCTAGAGCCGGTAGCAGGTCGTTACATCTGCTATTGCCTTAACACTTTCTATCTTCACGCCAGGAATTTATTTGAATGATTTTAGACTCATTCCTTTCATTTTTCGAGTTGTAATCTGAGATTTATAATTCAAATGAAGCTTTATTTTTTAAATTCCTGATCTTGTTCATGAATCTGTCTTAAAAAGTTCACTTCCTGTTTATTCTGTTAAATTCTGGTCTGTCATTTTGTTACGATTTTTACCATAATATAATGATGGAAAAAGTTTTAATGTGGACATGTTCAAGCTTCTAATTGAGGATTTTAGTGTTCTGGCAGATGATTGTTCTTTTCCAGGAAATGTTTTTGATTATTGCCAAGTTCTGTAACCATAGATTGTTGTCTTTTTTTTTTTTGTGTGTGTGTTTTATTTGTGAAAGTTTAACTGAAAATTCTCTTTAACCATGTTCTTTTGTTGATGCAGTCCATGGTTCAGAGTATGGGTATGGAGCACATGAGTATCCAACCAGTGGGGTCTTCGAAGTAGAACCCAGAAGTTGCCCTGGTTTTATCTTTAGGCGATCAATCCTTTTAGGTAGCATTGACATGTCTCGTTCAGAATTCCGGTCATTCATTGAGCATCTTTCTAGCCAGTACCACGGAGACACATATCATTTGATTGCCAAGAACTGCAATCATTTTACCAATGAAGTTTGCTTGCGCCTCACAGGAAAGCGAATTCCAGGATGGGTTAATCGACTAGCACGTTTAGGTGAGGAAATGTTACTGATGTACAGTAAGCCATTCATTGAGTGTCTGTTTCCTCAACAGTTAGCTTTGGCCTCTAGAGCATTAATCAATTTACTATTCAGCAACGTCTCTTTTTATGTCTGTTTTTAGTTGAGTAGACTTTTGTAGCTCTTTTTCTATTTGTGAGTAGATTAGGATTATCATTTCATCTTTGAGTTTTGCAAAATCTAGCATTAATAATTCATTCATCTAGTTTGCCTTTGTGATTGAAGTCTTGACGATGAACCTTGAGACCTTCCCTTTTTTAATACCTTTTGTGTTTTCCCTTATTGATCTTCAAAGGAAGCAGTAAGCCAGTAACCCTGGAATCAGGATAGTTGAATTTGCTTTTTCTCTTGTATCACTCCATACGTTGCCTCCGTGTATGTGCTGATATGAATGGAGGTTGAAATTTGTTTTATTGGCACTTTGGAAGTGCTATATTATTTCCTGACCATATCTGCGATTTGATATATGACACCTTCCATCCGAGCAATCTTAATATTGTATCCTCCTTGTGTTGATGTTTTTCTTATGATTTCTTCCTTTTTTTTTTGTTTTGAAAATTCAGGTTCTTTCTGTAATTGTCTGCTGCCAGAAAGTATTCAACTCACAACAGTCAGACATCTTCCTGATCGTCAAGTATATTCTGGTAAGTGGTTTTCTGTTCTCCCCCAGTGATGAAATAGAAGGCCCCAAATATATGTTATTATACCTGTGCCGTAATATCGATCAAATGTTTTAGGACATCTTTTGCTTTGTTGTCTTCCAATATGTTCTTAGTATTAGACCATATCATTTTTTCACGTCACCACCAGATTAAACGACTGCCGGATTGCTATTGAAGGCGGTTGTTACTATGGTTACCCGGTGCTGGTTAGAGAGTTATTTTTTGTCCACTTGTGTTTTTTAGAATATTCTTAGAACATGTTGCGCAATAAGAAACACAACACATGAAAACGCAACAGTAGTCCAAATAGGCCCTTAATGTCATTTTCAAGAAACTTCTAGGCTTGCATTTCTGTCTGTCATCACTGTGCTTGCCATAAGTGCTTTGCTTTGTTTCCTTGATTGCTGCAGATGATGAGATTTGTTCATCAGGATTATCAGCTTCAGAAGATGACGAAGAAGAGGACCTTGATCATCATCTCTTGACCATGGCAAACAGTGACGTTGCATTTTTAAAGGAAAAACCTGTGAGGCTAACGCAGGAGGTTCATTGAGTTTCGTCGTTCCTCTCAATTTGGCTTTTTTGTCGGTCCTTGTTATCAATTGTTGTATAAGATTCTGATCCTATTAGTTAATGTCTATATGGCCGTGATCTGGCGTGAAGTGTATTTATTTAGTATTATAGCAGTGAGCTCCAAGGAATTGTGATAAGTTCCAGATTTTTCTCACCTGACTGCTGAGTTGACTATCTAGATTATACTGATATAGTTATTATCAGTCATTTGGTTTACAAGAAAATGTGGCAGGGCAAAGTGCGAGGTTCAGTTGAATTGCATTGCACAGGGCAATAGGAAACCTTAATTTTAAGCTCAATTAAAATTTTGCGCATAATTTATTGATTATAGATGAGGATGCCCTAGTGAAACGATGCTCAATGAAACTCAATGTAGCCTCTTTACACTAGGTTTTACTTTTTAGTTTTAAGACTCAATATTTCAAACCAAAAACACAACTTTCGACAAAAACGGTCGCTAACTTTTTATTAGACTTTTTTTGGGGGTCAAAACAGTGATCATTATATCAAAAATGAAACAAGCAGTTACAAGTTATATTCACTCACTGAACTTAGTTTTAAGTTCCTTAGGTACATTTCACAATGCAATTTTAGTTGATTCCTTACAGTTATGAAGGGGAACAATGTCTTAGAACTTATAACCTTGATGTAATGAGCAATATAAAGAAATCGCAAATTAAAAAAAAAAAAAAAAAAAACAGGATGGAGAGAGCAATTTGCAACAACTTGGGTATCATGATTTCTCAATGCAAAAACTGTCTAAAACAGAATTTGGTGTTTCCCACAAGTCTCACAATGTATTCCAGATTCCGTGTACGGTGTGTATCAGATACTATATCAATCCGAGAAACAGAAAAAACCAACTTCAAAACAAAACAAAACACAAGAACTGGTAAAAGACAACCAACAATTTACTGCTAACATGATATGTTTTTCCCTTTGGATTTTGGTGTTAGGATAAAAACTGAAAAACTAAAAGAAAAAACCACCAAAAGAAGGAAAAGTCTAGAGTTATTACGTTGTTAGATACCATCTACAATTTGATTGGTTGGATTCGCTTTGTTGGCCCGTTGACATAAGATTATCCTCGATAACTACAAAGGAAGTAACACTGGTCTAAAATAATTTTTGCTCTTCTTAAATTCTCTCTGCCCACATTCCCATCCAATCCGGCCTTACCCCGGTGCTTTTTCTGACTTCTCCGGTGGGTTTCGGGTTTTGGGTTTTATATTCCTCTCATCCTCCTAAACCCATCTCTTAGAATAGGGCCAAAACCAAGATTTTGCCGGAATTTCTGCAAAAGTTCCTGGAGAAACCAAAAAAAGTTTCAATCTTTGTAAGGAAAAAAACCGCCATCATATTTCGAGTTACCTTTTTGTTTGCAATCATATGGCGGGTCGTGACCCTTCAGTTCTTTTGTACATCCTCGTCACTCTTGTCCTGTCTTTCGTCCAGTTATCTTCGTCTCTGCCATTTATTGTACTTCATGGTACTTCCTCTTGTAATTGTTACTCTTGGATGAATTTGTTCGATGGGTTTTGCTATTTTCTTGACTTATGATGTTTTTTTGATGATGATAGGAATCGGAGACCAGTGTTCTAATAAAGGAATGAAACACTTCACGGAGTTGTTGAGCGAGTGGTCGAATTCTACCGGATACTGCATGTATGGCTAGTTTATATACACTTCTATATTGAGTTTAACTTGTTTTATTAGGGGTGCTATAATTCGTTGTGATTAAGACATTACATCACCTAATGGATATATAAAGTGGTCGGGATTTGACTTGCTTGTCATTCTTCAAAGAAACTACCTTCTTGGTGTTGGTGATTGGATTTCTCAGTGATTAGTTAGGCTGATCAATCAGTAGCCTGGATTTCATGAATTACAGAGCCTTGCCATGATTTAGAATTAGGGAAAGCATTAGGCAAGTGTTTGCAAATGTATTATAGTTGTGAAAATCTTGGTGATAGGCTGTTGTGCTAGCGGCTAGAAACAATGTGAGTTGCAAACTAGCTTCATTGTTGTTTATATATCTAATAAATGTTTTCTGGATCAGATTTAAAGGTATAAATTTGCATTAATACTACCGGCAGCCTTCAGTGCTGTTTGATTCTATACTCGATGCGACGTCCCATTGCTACTTTTTCTTGTTTATTTTTTCCCAAAGTCAGATCGTTGACTCTATAACTTCATTTTAAATCTTTTTACCAACTTGCCCCCATTTTTTTTTACTAGATGTGTTTTATGATACGTGAGGCTTTGTTTAGAAACACCTAGTCTATGTGTGTTTTTTTCTGTTTTCCTCCAGGTTTTCAATCCACTTTTTACATATCCTGGACACCTTTTTTAATTTGAACGTTCCCAACAGAATCATGAAATGTGTGCTTTTCAGTAACCTAGATTTGTCAATGTTTCAACTTTTGAGTTTAATGTAAAGCTAACTTCCTGGTCACAGGGTTTAGTGTTACTATGCTCATTTAAGATTTTGAGGCTGATCCCACATTCCTAAATTTAAAAATGGTATGGCCTACCCCTTCAAAGGTAGTGATGCCGTCGAAGGATGTGAATAAAATGTACCTGATGCTTTTAACTTGTTAAGTTTTCTTTTGTTAGCCTTACTTTTATCTCAGTGTTTCTCTGATTTTTAAAATGGCTATTCATAGCCAAGGGAGGTCATTGTCGATTTTTGCTTAATGTTGTTCTTTGTAATTTGTTGTTGGCAATTTTTTCCGGAAGATTACGATGCTGATTCGCTGTTTATTCCGTAGAGAAATTGGGGATGGATCATGGGACTCCTGGTTTATGCCCCTTGAAGAGCAGGTTTTAGTTTCTGTTTACTCAATGTCTGATTGTGAATATTTATGGATATATCAGTTATCCTGAACTCTGCTCTTTATTTCCTGCAGGCGGAAGCTGTTTGTACGAAGGTGATAGTTTTTTTGTTATCTCTTGTTTCTGACAGTTTTATCCATCTGGCAGTTGGCTAAAGCTTAATTACAGGTGAAGAAAATGAAAGATCTCCAACAGGGTTACAGTATTGTTGGGCTTTCCCAGGTATTTTAAGTGCTTTATGCTTCGTGTTAGTGAGATTAATACTTTACTGGTCTATTTTATGATGTCTTTAGAGTTGTTGACCAGAAAAAATTAACAGATCATCAATTCATCATGATTAACTCAATGAATCAGTTGCCAATGCTTTCTTTATTAACTCCAATAACATTAATTTGAAAAGATATACTAATTTTAATGACAAATTTATGCATCAGTGATCCATTTCTACCTTGATCTCTATGATTTTTTTACCAATAATAGTCCTCTGTCTATAATCCTTATTATATAGTGTTACACTGCATCAAGAAATTACAGAAAATTAAAAGTCGAGAATCTAAAATTTATGGCCTGGACCCTGGAGAGGTTATATGCTCCTGTTGAACTTCTAAGTTCTAAAATTTCTGCCATTTTGCTGATTTTGTGATAGTGATTAGTTATTGTATCTTTTTTCCTGCAGGGGAACTTAATAGGTCGAGGTGTGGTCGAATTTTGTGAAGGAGCACCACCAGTAAGTCTGGGATATAAACATTCTGGTTTTATTGTTAATTGTTCCGTGCTATTTTGTGCTTTTGCAAGTGCACTTGTTTTGCTAGGTGTAGTAAAAAAGACCTATGTTTATATCTATTTTGTGTGTTTATATCATTGCTAGAGGGCTTGTCTTTGGACACATCTGTTTCCACATGCAATCATGACTGGATCTTATCCTGTTACTTCATTCCATAAAGTTCTGAGTAAATACATGTTTGAAAATTGGACATTGCGTTTGTAAATTACATACAGTAGTCCCACGAAAGAGTTGCTGATGAAGACATGCTACGATGTTTATTCTTCTTTCTATTTTTAAATGTTTGGATGTTGGTTGAAATTCGTTTTTCTTTCCAACCATAATAGGTCAAGAACTTTGTCTCACTGGGAGGTCCTCATGCTGGCATGGCTTCTGTTCCCCTTTGTGGTGTAAGTAATCTTCTTACATCCTTATTTCTATTTCATTGCCTTGAGATGCTAACCAGAATTGGCAAGCAGCTTTTCTACTTTATCTTCCGCTTTTGTTGGTAGCATCTTCATTCCATTTTTCTGAAGTATTTAATTTGAGAGCGTCCTCCTTTTCTAGGGATACTCTGGAAAGTATTGGTAGCGGCATATCTAGTAATCTGGTCGTCTTATTCGAAGAAACTACCCTATCAAATCTCAAATACTATCCGTAGCTGGCATAAATTTCTGTATTATAGAAATTGTGCAATGAATGGCCATGGAAAACAAATATATTTAAGGTGTACTCGTACCAGTAAAATATGTGAACCAATGAATGACCAAAACTTTTTCTTTACAACTTTCAGTGTGAAGTTGTTGTGTCGGTTGTGTATGGTTGCCGCTACTAAATACACGAACAAATGCTACTGAAGCCAAGTGTGTGATCTGGTAGTTTCGACTTCTGAGTTTCTTACACTGGGAGAAATATGTTGGCAATGCCATTTACCTCCATCAATTGCAATCAGTGATCTTGCTCATCATATTCTTCACCTTTTGGTTATATTCGTAGGAAAGAGATTTGATTCACGGACTGTAGCTCTACTCCACCAGCTCTTTTTTGCCCAATATTACTTTTTGGTTTTTGTTGGAATGCCAGATGCAATCCTGGTGATAGAAGTCCTGTACATGGTCATTAGCTTCAGCGAATATATGTCCATTTTAGACTCTTAAATGTGCATTAAGATGAGAATTATGAACCCTTCCAATTTTGCACTTGATGTGACCACAATGTTGATGGTTGTGCTATGTATTTTCAGACTGGCATCATGTGCATACTAGCTGATGTACTAATCAAATCAGAAATCTACTCTGACTATATTCAGGCATGCACCCCTCTCTCTCTCTCTCTCGCTCTCTCTCTCTCTCTCATGATGAGAATCTATGTGTGTAATACATTTTATTCAATTGCAGGAACATTTGGCTCCCAGCGGTTACCTTAAACTCCCAAATGTGAGTATAAATCTTTTCATATGTGAGATTTATGTAATTACGTCTGATTAAGTTGTGTTGCGGGACGCTGCCAATCTACAGCTAGATTATTTTTTTTTCTTTCCACTGGCTTATTCCACTTCATAGCTCATGTCTTGTAATCTTGAGGGATGGAAGAAATATTTAAATAAAATTGCGAAGATACTTGATGAAATTATAAAACATGTGTATCTGACATGGAGATGATTGAGCTGGTCTGAATGTCTGGAGCTAATTATTTCTGCACCCTTCAAAAACAGAATATGGATGCTTATCTACAGAAATGTAGATTTCTTCCAAAGCTTAACAATGAAATCCCCGGAGAGAGGAACTCTACTTACAAAGAGCGGTTCAGTAGCTTGCAGAATCTTGTACTTATCATGGTATGTTGGAATCTCATTTGCAATGTTTGTCCCTTGGATGGAATGACTGTTTAACTTTGTCTGTGTGGCTTATTCTTTTCCTGCTGCAGTTTGAACATGACACAGTTTTGGTGCCAAAAGAAACTTCTTGGTTCGGATATTATCCAGATGGGGCTTTCAAACCAATTTTGGCAGCAGATCAGGTATTTATCCTTGTTCTTGACGCAGAAAATAAGTCACAGATGAAGTATTTTATCTGTGGGTGTTTTTCCTTTTTTTAATATCATAATTACTCCGTTGGTGAAATTGGAATTGTCGGGTTTTTTACTCTTTCTTCCGTCTTGTATTAGTCAATCCACTTTTACCTTCCTTTTTTTTAACATACTGTGTGCCCCCCGGGCCCCTCATTCCAACATAATTGGTAATTTCAAATTAGATCTGATTTTTCACAAGTGATATAAAAGAATTTAGGGTATGAAAATAAAACAAAACTTGCACTTTCTGGTGGTGTTACTGACAGAACTGTCTTTCAGTTAACTGAAGCCTCTCAATTCTGTATTATGCTGAGGAACATTGATACTGGTATCTGAATCTGAAATTTATAGCTACCTATTCTAAAGCTTGAATTTGTTATCTTTGCTGCAGACTGATCTCTATAAGGAAGACTGGATCGGATTGAAGACCCTGGATGAGGCAGGGAGGGTAAAATATATTCAGGTGCCAGGAAATCACCTGGGAATTTCCAAGGGTGATATGAAAACCTATGTAGTTCCGTACTTGGTGGATGACACCTCGGAAACAGATAACTCCAAAACCCCGTCCGGATCCCGATCCCAAGATGGGGATTCGGCACAAGTCATCCTTGATGGTTCATTAGCTTACACGTTGCCACCATCAATCAAGAGATTCTTCGATGAAGTAGTTGGGATCATACAGGATGAGCCTACATATGTGTCTTGATTGGAGTTCAGTTAAAGCTTTCATGTGTGGCGTTTGTTGGTGATTGGAGTCTGCAGAATGTTTCTATGTACTTGTGTCAGTTTATCGAAACAAAATCATATGTAAATAAGTTCCACGATCACAGTTATAAGATGCACCGACATAGATTATCTGTCAGTCATCGTTGATCCCTCATCAGGCAAATGGCCGGAATTTTCCATTCCACTTGTATATCAGAGTGTCGGAGAGAAGTTACACAGTATAAATGGAAAGGTGTCATTATTATTTATTTGGATGAATTAAGTGTTAAACGGGCATTGTTTTATACATCAATAGAGAGAAAGTACTCCTACCTTTTTTTTCATTTTTAAGGCGTTTTAATAATTTTATACCGTGTGAAGAAACAAGAATAATCAATCATGCTGCTTCTCTTTTCTTCTTCTTCTTTTTGTTTTTTATTTTTTTATTTTTTTATTTTTTGAATAACTTCTCCTTTTCTTTTATTACTTCTTTATTCCAATTTCACCCTGTTTCGACTTACTATTTAACTAGTTCAATGAAAAGGGGGGAAAAAAAGAAGAAGAAGAAGAAGATAGACGATTTGCATCTGTATCAATTTCAATCATAATAGTTTGGACACAATTAATCTTTACATTTTTGGTATTCCGAATAGGGTTTATGAAAATCGCAACTTGATTACTAACTTATTTCAACCATAACAGTTTCGATTTAAACACAATCAATCTTCAAGAGAGGAAGAAAAAGTTCATATCGGACTAGTAAGAACATTCTTCACAATTGACGTAATAATTGAATAAGAGAAATGTTAATAACGTCTAGGAGTACCTTGCCAAACCTAGCTACGACTAAGGTACGCCACGAGTTCACACTTTGCAATGGAACTTCCATTTATATATATATATATATATATATATATATATTTATACTTTTTAACTTAAAATAATTGTTCAATCTTTGGATTTTTATTTTTAATGCAATTTGTACTAAAAATGAAATATCAAACTGACCATCATTTTTCAACCAGATGGAATACGTTGAGGTCCATCTTCACTTAGACATCTACGTTCACTTAGACATCTACGTCATTATTATTTTACATTGACAATGGCTAAACAGATTAGAGAGCGGGAAAAGATGACAATAAAGAAAAGATGAACAACGGAAGAAGAAGACGACAAAAACCAACACGGCTGCAACATATATATATCAATTTTCTCAAAAGTTGAAAGCCACTTTTCGTCGAGTCAAAGAGATAGAGAGGACATGGGGAATAATTAGAGGCTGATAAATTATAAGGGAGAAAGGGAAACCAGCGATGAGGACAATTATGGGGCGCCTTAGTGAGGCCTGCAAACATGCCATCCATAAAAGATCCACGCAGTGATTTCGTCAGCCAATAGAAATCATCTTAGGGGACGACGTAACAAGGGTATAAGTTTAATGACTTTCACAAGTTTATATATGTAGTTCTATTGTTGGTATAAACGTATAAGTACTCATGATGGCAAATGAGAGACCGTTGTTGTCCAAATTTTCATGATGGCAAAAGGCCGGCCTACCCAAAGAGATGTTTCGTCATTCTTACCCTTCATGCAAGGACAAATTAACCTTAAGACTCCAGCTATATATATACCGTAGTAATCAAAACTCTGACATGGCTACTGCCTTCTTTCAAATTGATCTTCTTTTCTTGCGTTTTTAACCACTGTTTCCATCGATGGAAATGCCAGTCGTTGCGCCAGTCATGAACTTCGTGATTAATATAACTAATGCAAGTCACAACCATAATTACTACTATTATTTCAACAACCAAAATCATCATCACGAGCCAACAGTACTGCCTTCAAAATCGAATTCCCAAGCCTGCAAATTTGCCTTCGTCCTTACGGTCTTGGTCAACCTAGTCCAGATCAAATATCAAGGTCAAACCGATTCTCCTTTCGAAATCCACCCGAAAACCATGTTTTTGTTCATTGTCGCGCTGCTGCTTTACTATTGTATTCCATCATCCCCTCATGCCCCCAAACACGCAACTTCGGATATATACTTTGACGAGTTTGGTGCTATGAGCAAAGTAATCTGCGCTTCCCTTTGCTTGGCATCTCTTTTATCACTTCTCCTACCCGAATCTCTTTCTCCGCTTGTATTTTCACTATCCATCGTTTTCTCACTTGGTCAAATATTGTTTTCCCGATCTCATCTTCTTCAATCTATCTGTGACTTGTTTCCTAAGCTACCAATTTATATCGTGGGAAAATTCCAACATCGATCAATGCGCCATGACACACGAAGAGGAAGTACTGCGGCCGGGGGAGTCCGAGTCCAACTGATCCCATGGTTTTCAAATGGTCATCCTCGTAATGACTTTCATATTGATCAAGTTCAAACCCTTCCTGTGTAAATTCTCCAAGGTTTATATAAGGTTAATTTTGATGCTTAGTTTTCGTGATTTTGCTCCGGTTAAATTCCATGCATGTATCTATCATCTTTTTGTTGTCTGTTAAAAACTTGATTGTGAGGAGACCTTTTTTGTGTATATTTCTCTCCAACAGGTCCCCATGCACGTAGATATAACTCTAGGGAGACGTTTGTCCCGAATAAAAAAAATAGCCCATCGAATTGAGTTTCTATTAGTTTCAGTGTCATATCGATCCTGTGGATCTTTATGGGTGCCATCCATCTTATTACTAACTTTGCCTGAATTTCTTTGCCCAGATTTGTGTTTCCGCTATCAGAGTGTCGGTACTCTTGTGTTGCTTTTTCTCAAATGATATCCAAATTCCTTGGGGATGAGGCGAACGATTAAATTTTACTCCTTCCGTTCCATAATTATTGTCTATTTTGCCCAAAAAATTTTGTCCCAAAATTATTGTTCAATTTGACTTTTTATGGATCAAGTTACACATTTGTCCTTAGTAAAAAACATTATCCATTAAATCTTAGTGGTTAAACAATTACTTATGTAGGGGTATATCCGGTTGTTTAAGGTAAAATATAGTTAAACTTGACAAAAAATAAAATTTTCCATTTTAGTAAAACTGCACAATAATTATGGGACGGAGGGAGTATTTGTTATCATTTTATAATTGACTAGGTGTAATTTTGATAGTTTAATGTTAGCTAGCCGTGATTAGGGTATAGTTTATTGTCTTTTTTATTTAAGGGAATGAGCTATTGGAGAATCATCATAGCATTTAAGTGTAATCATTTGTTTCCTCGTTTAGAGCTTTAGTTTTGTGTATAATTGATTCTAAGAATAAGGCGAGATTAGGACTGTCAAAAGCAATATTCTGTAATTATGTTTGTAAGGTTGTTAATCGTGTATGTACACATACTAGATCAATAAGAAAGTGAGTCAACATCATTCTCTTCATCATTTTTATATGGTATCAAGAGCTGCTTAATTTCTGGGCTGCTCTTTCTCTCTCTCTCTTAGTTATATTCCACCATGGGTACCCCTGCTTTGCCATACATCAACACGCAACTCTTAGTCCCTAATGCTCATGAACCAAATAACCCTCTTGTAGCCATCACTGCAAGCAATCTCATCAAACTCAATGCCACGAATTACTTCTCGTGGAAACTTCAATTTCATACCACTCTTGTTGGATATAATCTTGAAAGATTTATTGATGGATCTTCCCCATGTCCACCAGCAACCATTCAAACAAATGGGGTAAACACTCCCAATCCAGCCCAACAAACATGGATTCGACAAGATCACCTAATTTTTAGTGCTCTTGTAGGGTCTCTCACAGCACCCATCATCCCTCTTATCACTCAAGCCCGTACATGTCAAGAGGCATGGACAATTCTATCCAATACATATGCTAAACCTTCCCGAGGGCATATCAAGCAGATCAAAATCCAATTGAAAAAAACTACCAAAGGTACCAAAAACATCTCTGAATATATGCAATTCATTAAGGGTCGTGCCGATGAACTCGCTGTTTTAGGCAAACCACTTGATCAAGAAGATCTTATTGAGGCTGTTCTTGATGGTCTTGATGAAAATTACAAGTCAACTATTGATGCCACCAACAATCGTGATACCCTTATATCCTTTGATGAACTCCATGAGAAACTCATCAATCATGAGCTTTTCCTTCAAGAGTCACAATCATCTTCTTTCTCACCGATCACGGCAAATCCCACAACTCCACGCCCTCACAATCAAAATTGGCGTCCCAATCAATCCCATGGCTCATTCTTCCCCAACCAATACTAGGCTAGACCTTCACCTCCTCCGCCCCGTGGTAACCGTCCACCTCCAAAACCATATCTTGGATATTGTCAAGCTTGTAATATTCAAGGCCACACTGCTAAACGGTGCCCAAATTTTCGCCTGACTGCAACCAACACATCTATTCAACAACAATCATCCATTCCTTGGGCACCACGATCACAAACCCCTTGGCAACCTCGTGCTCACTTTACCACCTCTACCCATACCAACTCCTCTCCATGGATGATGGATAGTGGCACATCTCATAGTGTGACCTCTGATCTAAACAATCTCTCACTTCATGCTCCATATGACGGCTCTGACGATGTTGTCATCGGTGATGGCACGGGCATCCCAATCACCCACACTGGTTCTACATCTCTTGCTACTCCCACTCGCACACTATCACTCAATAATGTGCTTTATGTTCCTTCCATGAAAAAAAAAAACTGTTGAGTTCTTACCATTTTTGTTTGATGTAAAGGATCTACGCACGAAGGAAATTCTTTTACGGGGGCGAGCTAAGGATGGTGTGTACGAGTGGCCAACAAATCTTCCTTCCAAGTCACCACCTTTACTAGCTTTTTCTTGTGTCAAAACCACTTCATCCGAGTGGCACAATAGATTAGGACATACGTCTTTGAACATTTTGAAGCATATGATTTCTAAGTTCACTTTAAGTTTATCAAGTCCAGTGTCAACAATCTCACATTGCAATGCATGTAATTGCAATAAAATCATAAGTTACCTTTCTCCTCTTCCACCATTGTGTCCTCTTCTCCTCTTGAAGTACTTTTTTCCGATGTATGGACATCGCCAATCCTCTCCATTGATGGTTTTAAGTACTATGTGATTTTTGTTGATCACTATACTAAATCCGTATGGCTCTATCCATTGAAACAAAAATCTGACCTTAGTGATGTTTTCATTCGTTTCAAAGCACTTATTGAGAAATTTTTTAATCGGCAAATCATCTCTTTATATTCTGATAATGGGGGAGAATACCAAGCACTCACCACTTTCCTAACACAAAATGGGATCTCTCATCTTAGAACACCACCACATACACCCGAACACAATGGATATTCTGAACGTCGCCACCGTCACATTGTTGAAACCGGTCCCACTTTACTCTCCCATGCTTCTATGCCACTCACTTATTGGCCATTTGTTTTTGCCACCTCAGTTTATCTCATCAACCGTATGCCCACTCCAACCCTCGAACTTGTCTCTCCATATGAACGCCTCTTTGGGGTTTTACCAAACTACCAAAAACTTCGTGTTTTCGGTTGTCTCTGTTATCCATGGTTACGACCCTATGCCAAACACAAATTAGACTCTCGCTCTATCCCATGTGTTTTCTTAGGCTACTCTCTTACTCAAAGTGCATATCTTTGTCTTGATCGAACCACCAATCGAACTTACGGCTCTCGTCACGTCAAATTTGTTGAGTCTGTATTCCCATTTTCCTCTCCTTTATGTCTATCACAATCTCATGAGTCTGATCATACACCCTCCTCGCTCACTATCTTCCTCTCTCACCGTCAATGCCACTTGACACATCCTCTATGCTTGCTCCCACACCGCCACTCTTACACATTGATCCTTCACCAGCACAAAACCAACATGATCATACCATCATGTCCACATCTTCCCCACATCAGACCTTCCCTAATCCACCACCCCAACCAGAGCCACGAACCATTATCACTCGATCTAAACATAATATATTCAAACCCATCCAAAAGCTTAATCTCACTGCCCAAGTTCACTCTCATGATTCCCCGGAACCGACCACTTTCACCCACGCCCTCAAAGATTCCAATTGGCGTCAAGCCATGTCGGATGAGTATAATGCCCTTGTGCACAATGGGACTTGGGAACTTGTTCCCTATAATCCAAACCAAAACATAGTCGGGTGTAAGTGGATTTTTTCGCACTAAAAGACTCCCTGATGGTTCTCTTGACAGGTACAAAGCTCACTTAGTTGCGAAAGGCTTTCATTAACGGCTGGGTGTTGATTATCATGACATTTTCAGTCCCGTGATCAAACCCATGACGGTGCGCATAGTTCTCAGTTAGCTACTTATTATGGTTGGCCCTTACGACAATTAGACATCAATAATGCCTTCCTTCAAGGTCATCTATCAGAGGATGTCTTTATGGCTCAACCTTAAGGGTTCATTGATCGGGATCTGCCCCATTATGTCTGCAAATTGCGCAAAGCTATTTATGGCCTCAAGCAGGCTCCTCGGGCATGGTATCATGAATTGCGCCAATTTCTTGTCAGCCTGGGTTTCTTAAACTCCTATGCAGATACCTCGCTGTTTGTTCTTAACTCTAATAGGCATGTGCTTTACCTCCTTGTTTATGTTGATGACACAATTATCACAGGCAATAACGGTGAAGCGGTTCAAGCCTTTATTGATCTCCTTGCCAAGCGATTCTCCCTCAAGGATCTTGGTCCTCTTACTTACTTCTTAGGCATTGAGGTCCTTCCTCATCCTGAAGGTTTATTTTTATCTCAACGGCGCTACATTCATGATCTCCTCACTAGCACCCACATGACAACTGCAAAACCCGTTCTCACACCGCTTGCCACTGCTCCACCTTTGACACTGCTTTTAGGTACTGCATTATCTGATGCAACTGAATATAGAGCTGTTGTGGGTAGCCTTCAATATTTATCTTTTACACGCCCTGACATATCCTTTGCAGTCAATAAACTCTCTCAATTCATGCATCGCCCCACCTCTGAACATTGGAATGCTGTCAAACGGGTATTACGTTATCTTTGTGGTACTTCTAACCAGGGCCTTCTTATACATCGTCAATCATCTCTAGCACTTCATGCCTTTTCAGATGCCGATTGGGCTGGCAACAAGGATGATTATAGTTCCACCAGTGCATATCTTTTTTATCTAGGAAGGAATCTTATCTCTTGGAGTTCAAAGAAGCAACATACAGTTGCTCGAGCTTCCACAGAAGCTGAATACAGGTCTGTTGCTGCAACTGCTGCAGACCTGTATTGTGGCGGAAGGGTGTACCAGAAGTTTTGTACCAGAGTTTTGT